AATCAGCTGGGCCTGGTGGCGCGTGCCTGTAATCCCAGCTACTCAGGAGGCTGAGGCAGGAGGATTGCCTGAACCCAGGAGGCGGAGGTTGCGGTGAGCCGAGATCGCGCCATTGCCCTCCAGCCTGGGTAACAAGAGCAAAACTCCGACTCAAAAAAAAAAAAGAAGGATGTGTGTGTCTGTATTTTCAGAGAAAGGGTCTTGCCCTATTGCCCAAGCGCTCAGTCTGCCAGATAGCTAGGGCTACAGGCGTGTGCCACCATGCCTGGCTAATTTTTATACTTTTTTTTTTTTTTGAGACAGAATCTTACTCTCGCCTAGGTTGGAGTGCAGTGGTGTGATCTTGGCTCACTGCAGCCTCTACCTCCCAGGTTCAAGCAATTCTCCTGCCTCAGCCTCTTCAGTAGCTGGGATTACAGGTGCCCACCACTGTGCCTCGCTAATTTTTGTATCTTTAGTTAAAACAGGGTTTCACCATGTTGGCCAGGCTGGTTTTGAACTCCTGACCTTGTGATCCACCTGCCTCGGCCTCCCAAAGCGCTGGGATTTACCAGCATGAGCCACACGCCCAGCCCCCCCCACCCTTTTTTTTTTTTTGAGACAGGGTCTCGCTCTGTTGTCCAGGATATAGGCTGCTGTAGTGCAGTGGTATGCTTACAGCCCACTGTAGCCTTGACCTCCTGGGCTCAAGTCATCCTCCCACTTCAGCCTCCCAAGTAGCTGGGACCACAGATGTACACCACCACACCCAGCTAATTTTTATACTTTTTGTAGAGATTGGGTTTCACCATGTTGTCCAGGCTGGTCTCGAATGCCTGGACTCAAGTACTCCTCCTGCCATGGCCTCCCAAAGTGCTGAGATGTAGGCATGAGCTACCACACTCAGCTGATCCTTTTTTTATATTAATAAATAGTTTGTTACGGAGATAATAAAATGATCCCAACTGTTCTTAGGGCTGCAGAGAGGTTTTCCATTTGGTTCTACTGTTCTTCTAGTTAAGATTCTTTAATATATAATAATAATTATTATTTTTTCAGACATAGTCTTGCTCTGTCTCCTAGTCTGGAGTGCAGTGGTGGGATCTGGACTCACTGCAACCTCCACCTCCCAGGTTCAAGTGATTCACCTACCTCAGCTTCCTGAGTAGCTGGGATTATAGGCACTTTTGCCAGCACGCCCAGCTAATTTTTTTATTTTTATTTTTTATTTTTATTTTTATTTTTTAATAGAGACAGGGTTTTACCATGTTGGCTAGGCTGGTCCTGAACCCCTGACCTTGTGATCCTCCTGCCTCAGCCTCCCAAAGTACTGGGATTATAGGTGTGAGACACTGTGCCTGGCCTTGAGATTTTTTTAGAAGTGTGGGTGGGGTTATACATATGTATGTGGTTTTTTGTTTTTGTTTTGAGGCAGGGTCTGGCTCTGTGGCCTATGCTGGAGTGTAGTGGCATGACCTTGGCTCAGCGCAGCCTCCGCCTCCTGGGTTCAAACCATCCTCCCAAGTAGCTGGGAAGACAGGGGCACACCACCACACCTGGCTAATTTTTGCATTTTTTGTAGAGACAGGGTTTTGCCATGTTGCCCAGGCTGTGGGTTGTACATTTGAAAAGTGATTGGGCTCCTAGCAACCCTTAGGAAAGCAAAGCTCTTGTTAATTCTATGCCTGGAACTTCTTTTAATATTCTTATTTGGTGTGTCTTTTCTGGTAGAGTGAAATGGGTAATTTCTTCTTGACTTTGACAATATTCATCTATGCAACTAGTTATTAAGAAGATAATTAGTTTTAATTTTTTTTTTTTTTGATGTTTACATTATGTAAGATAGGCAGTCTTTTGAGAGGAATAAACTAATCTGTGTGTGTACCTACAAAATTACTTAAGGCTAAGATAGAGAAAAAAATATGAAGGAAACCTGGCGATGCTTTACAGTTTCATTTTCTTTCTTTTTTTTTT